ATAATAATACAGCAACTAGAGTCTGGAGTTAACCCTACCCACCCCCTTTTGTTAACTTCCGAGAAACCAATATCTACACACCCCAGATCTACATAATCCAGTTGCGTTTACTTCTGAACAAACTAACATTTTTAATGCTGAACAAACTGACACTTTTAATAACTTTACATGTCCAGAGTTTGAAAACCCGATAGAAAAAAAAAAGATGTGAAATATGATTAAATTCCATCAAAATCAGATCCTAACAAGAACAATATTAAAAACTTTGAATTAAAAAAAAAGCGTACAATATTTTGTATTACTCCTAGGTTGAGATAGAAATGTTGAACCATTATTTTAAAACCAGAAATTATAACATTCTTGAAAGTACATGTAGACTGCTCTCAGATGGGACTAGACGACTATTATGCAATATTAACAGGAAATGCCAGGTGTCACTACTTAGGTGTGGAACCGAATCCTTGTATATATACACGTGTGATGTACGTCTGAGTTACAATGTACCCCTCGGAATACAGCCCTGAGGGTGAATCTTACAATATATTTTCTATATAGTGTGTACAGAGTGGTTCGACCATGCTCTACGCGCTGAAGTTATTAAAAAATGATTGCATTCATGTGACCCCCCCCTCCCCCATACCTAGTACCATAAATACGCGATTTCCATGCATTTGTAATATGGGATAAAATATTATTGATATAGAATAAAATCTATAAAATATAGATTAATGGGGGGGGGGTCGTAAGAATTTAACTTTTGTTTAATGATTTAGACTTTGATATTCCTATCATGCATTTACAATCAAACAAGTCCGAAGATTGACCGGAGAGTCCATTATCCTCGTATAAAAAATACAATTAATTTTTTTTACAACAGACCGAGAAGAGTAAGGGGTATACTATTTTTGAGACATAAACGGGTGTGAACAAAAAATCTCGATTGCATATCATGTGCTTGATAAAGGGGCCGAGCAAGGGACGCTTTACGCGATCGTACATATTAAGCCTAATATTTATATGTAATATGCTTGTAACGGTGGATTAATCATGTGTTGATAAATGAATAAATAAATAAATAAATAAATAAATAAATAAATAAATAAATAAATAAATAAATGAATGAATGAATGAATGAATGAATGAATGAATGAATGAATGAATGAATGAATGAATGAATGAATGAATGAATGAATGAATGTAAAGATCTACTTCAGGTGGGTCATCATGAATTCGGCACTTTAGTAAACGCTTCGCTTAAATAATAATCGGGATATATTACAACAAATATAAGATGTTTTAAATATTTTTAAGTTGAATTACAAAGATCTAACGGAAATCATTGTAAATATAATTACCGAAATTAATTAAGTGTAAATCGCTAAGATGAGTAAACCGGGCCCGCTACCCATTTTAGTCACCTTGAAAAAGACAATCGGCGATAATGATGGATAAACATAACATTTTAATTCAAAACTGTCAGCGAAGGCAAATCTTGTAGTAATAAACTATATCCGTAAATTTCATGAAGAAATAATGTGTATTCATCTCATTATTGTCAAAAACCCGGTTTTCAGTTTCGAAATTCCCGGCCGGCCCGGCCCGGGTTTCGCTACCCATTTTAAGAGCGGAAAGGAAGAAGACCACCTGTCTGGATGTACAGGCCTAATGATGTAATTAAGAACTTTATTTTAACAAGGATTAATTCACGCAAGTATTTAAATCAGTCTGATTGATTTGGCGTGTGTGAATTATTCCATTAACATCACAAAATGTCCAATTGGAATTCTGCTGTCAGTCAGTGTCTGAAGGAATTAGTTTTGTTTACATGTCAGTGATGTAAGTATTAGCATGCTATGAATTTGGGGGTTATTTCTTGCAAAACGGAATCAAGCTCTATATGATAGATATTAGAGGAATATACATGGTCAAAAATTAATATAACTTTTATTATTAGTTTTCTTAGTCTTACTCAACAGTCAATTTAGGGAGGAGGAATATCTGTCAGGGTGTCCCATGTATCAGTAGAGTATGTCACATTGTGCCTGTCTAAGGTTAATCAAGTTCAAGTTCAGTTTATTTATGGATTCTATAACATTAGGTCTGTGCGAATGAGTTCAATAATTAATCCCTGCATGTACTTTTATGGGGTACTCACAAGGGTGGATCTTAACAACTGCAGTGATATAGATGTGAAATTTCTATTTTCCTTTTAAAAAACTGTGAACCAAAAATTATCACTTTGACAACAAAGTACCAATCATACGATATGTATGGAAATACCTTATTGAAGAGTTACTGTAGCTCCAAAGTTTTTTTTCTTCTAATTAGGTCAAACATGAATAAAGGTCAAGGGGTCAGAAATCATAGCATGCTCAGAAATATCTTGCAACAGACATATGAAAAATCTATCTCTTCTAAATCAAAGTAATAAGGAAGAATTAATATTTATGAAAAGTATGTCATACTTCAAGGTCAAGATATAATGGTAAAAAATCATGATAGTGTAATCTGTATTAAGAAAGGAATAATTCGCACAGGTAATACATGTATAATTTGAACATGTTGAAAGCCCTATCTCATCTCATTCAAAAGATATGACTTAAGTTTAAGTTTTTATGACATTGATAAGCTGACCATTTAACAGATGACAGATGAATAAGATTTAATGTCCTCTCTTATTCGCTAAGGTGGGGGACAAAAATCAAAAGAACTCATCAAAAGGGATTGACTGACCTTGACCTGATAATGCATATAGATGCTTTCTGTAAAAATAAACGTCTTCTTACAATTATTTAGTTTAAAAGAAATATCATGTTTGACATACATGTAGATCTATTTCAATGAAAAAAAGTGATATTGTCAGAATGAGATCAATATTGCCTGACTGCACCTTGCAGGATGAAAATTTAGTTTTAATAATTTCAGAACTTCTTTTTTTCTAATTAGAAACTAAAGAATTTTCGATGAATTCCAATTATATATTACTAATAATTATAATGTACATGATCTATGTAAAGCCTAAATGTAGATTTAACAGTCGAGCTGGTTGATGACAGGTATAAACTTTAAAAAATTACTAGTAGTAAATAAGGTACCGTAAAGGCGTAGTACATGTATACAATGTATATGCTGTCTTATTTAATCATATTCATTGTACCTGCTTTTTTGGCTGATATTAAGTGGTTATTTCAGCTTTTTTTTTTATTCAGACAGAGTAGCATAGAGATGCAATTAATTTCATTTTTCATAATATTCATTCATTCATAAAAATAATAAAGATACCTAACCTAATGATAAAAAAAGAAGAAGAAATCAGATTGGTGATCAATATCTAAAGACATGATGGCGGATCTAAGGGAATACTGTAGGTTGTAATATTTTCGTTCGTTTATTGCTTTTCTCATTTACCTAAGACAAAGCGACATGAGATATTTGTCTCATCTTTCTTAATTATGATTATGGCTAATTGATTTCAAATATTTAGCTTATAAGTCATGTATAATAGTCTAAATTTATGAGCGGTGGATCCAAGGGGAGTTGATATTTAAATACTTGTGGTGGATCAAAGGATACTAATGATTTTTGCAAATTTATTTCAATGTTTAGTTAATATTTCTGTGTGTGATCATGATCTTAACTAAGAAGTGGTGGATCCAAGGCAAGTGGATATTAATTGTTTTGATAGCCATAAGAGTTGTGGTGGATGTAAAGGGAGTAGATAGATATTTGTAATAGGTCAAAGGATAATAATGATTATGGATAATTGATTTCAAACATATAGCTTATATGTCATGTGTGATCAAGATCTAAACTTATAAGTGGTGGATCCAAGGGGAGTGGATATTTATCTTTTTTAATTATTTGTGTTTGATCAAAGGATATTAATGAATTGTGATCATGTCTAATTTATTTCAAACATTTAGCTTGTGATCTTTATTTTAAAGTGGTTGATCCAAGGCAAGTGGATATTATTTTTAAATATTTGTGATGGGTAAAAGGACATTACTGATTCCGGCTAATTGATTTCAAACATTAAACTTATATGTCATGTGTGATCAAGATCAAAACTCATAAGTGGTGGATCCAAGGGAGGTGGATATTTATCTTTTTTAAATATTTGTGAATGATCAAAGGATATTAATGATTTATGATTATGGCTAATTTATTTCAAACATTTAGCTTTTATGTCAGGTGTGAACATGATCTTAATTTAAAAGTGGTGGATCTAAGGGGAGCGGATATTATTTTTAAATATTTGTGGTGGGTAAAAGGATAATAATGATTACCCATACCGAAATTAAGTACAAATTAAGTACAGAAAAAAAGTACAAAAAAAGGTCAAAAAAAGTATACTTTTTTCGACTCAATTTGGAACGAGAGATTTGGTCGTTCCAAATTGAGTCAAAAAAAGTATACTTTTTTTGTGCTTTTTCAGAAACTTGTGTTCTCAGTCACAGAAAAAGGATAACAAAAGTATACTTTTGGTACATTTCTATATTTGACCAAGGTACATAAAAAGTATAATTGGAAGCACAAAAAAAGTACTTTCTTAAAACTATTAAACATATTTAAGTACAAAAAAAGTATAATTCTAGAAAAAGTACAAAAAAAGTATACTTCGAGAAAAAGTACAAAAAAAAAGTATTCTCCTTGAAAAAGTACAAAAAAAGTATACTTCTAGAAAAAGTACAAAAAAAGTATTCTTCCAGAAAAAGTACAAAAAAAGTATTCTTCCAGAAAAAGTACAAAAAAAGTATACTTCTAGAAAAAGTACAAAAAAAGTATTCTTCCAAAAAAAGTACAAAAAAAGTATACTTCTAGATAAGTACAAAATTGTATGCTAAAAAGGTGTAAAAAAGTACAAGAAAAGTATACTTCCAGAAAAAAAGTACAAAAATGTATGCGAAAAAGTACCAAAATGTGTGCGAAAAGGTACAAAAATGTATGCAGAAAAATTATATAGAAAGTACTTCTTTTAGATTGATGGTTTAAAAAGAACAAAAATGCATTCAGATCTGATATACCAAAAAAATTAAATCTCTTTTTTAACTTACAGAATTGTTATTCAAAAGCATGAAATTTTGACAGTCCATGAAATCATTATTTTCAGTTCTATAAATCTTCCATAAATAATTAGAGAATAAATTGGAATATAAAATCATCAACAAGATTATATATATAATTTTATAGAATAACAGTTTTTAATCCTTTTGCGTCTAGTCACTACATGGTTGGAATCTCCAGGTAGGGGTGTTCCCAACCCCCCAAACTGAAATTGCATCCTACAGGCTTGTCCTGTACATGGATTTGTCACTGATTGATCACACTCACAGATCGCCTACACTCCTAAGTCTATTCACCCAATCTTTCTCTCTGTGATCTTCATTTGAATATGCTATGTGGTTTAACCCTTCAACATGTTCTAAGCACTTTTCCTTGGGTTCTGCAAAAAAAGTTTAATAATCAATTTTTTTCAGTTCTAAATTAAACATCAAAGTTCTCAAAAAGCAGAAATATAAATTCATAAGCTAATACATGGCAGACTCACATAGTACATGCATCATATTATTACCAGTTTGATATGATTTTTAAAATTTTTTTATTTTACAAAGTTAGACTACATTTAAATTTAAATTTTATGCCCTGTTCACACGGAGAGTTTAATTCGAATTAAATGTAAGTTTACTGCGAATTAGCTTTGCTTATTGTTCACACGGAGAATTTAATGCAAATTAGTTTACTTCGAATAAGTTTACTGCGCATTAAATTACTTCACATTAGCTCTGTGTGAACGCTTGGCAAAGCTAATTCGAACTAAATTCTGATGCATGCGTAATGGCAAAATTTAGTCAAATGCCACTTGTGCTATTTTTGAGTGAAAAACTAAGGAAAATTTTGTTTATCATAAAATCAGACACTTTGCCATCATGTCAAATGGATCTGCGTCAGCATAATGTGACGTGATTTGCAAATGACGTCGTAATAGCCGTGCTGCAGAAACAAAATTCGCATTAGTTTACTTCGCATTAGCTGTCGTGTGAACGCAATTTTACTCGTATTAGTTTGATTCACATTAGTTTACTTCGCATTTACTTGGCATTAATTTACTGCAAATTAAACTCTCCATGTGAACAGGGCATTAATATACTTACTGGTGATATGATACAGTTATATTGTTGAGGTATTTTCCCATAGCTCTGCATTTAAGTCACAGTAAAAAAGGAACTTCTGAAAATTATAGAAGAAAATCAGATAACTTGAACATGCATGTTGAAAGATTAAGATTACTCTAAAATTAAATTTTTAAGTTTCTTTGAAAAAAAACCCTGTCTATATTCCTCATGTTATATAACTTGCAATTTACATGTTTAGAATAAAAAAAAGTATTCATGTGTGTCAATATTGAAGCACCCCCCCCCCATTTGAAGTTCTTTTCAGCCTCGAAAGATGATCAGTACATCTTAAGTGATAACTAACAAGTGCAACTTAAAATTTATCAGATGCATGTAAATGCTGATACTTAAAATGCCTTTTTATCATGTTCAATCCCCCAGTATTAAATTTATTTGTATTGACTTACCCCCCCCCCCATTTTTCAATCTCAACCCCACCTCACACACACTATATCATGCTATATACATTCTGCCTTTTAACAAACATCCATTTATTTGTTTAACAAACTTTAAATCTTACAAAATTCAGTAGACTTAGTGTTTTTTTTAATTATGCTAAGACTTATAGCTAGGCTACAAAAATGTTTGTACGTAGCCCAGTGAACGTTTCCAAATACTGAGCAGTGCTGATTGTATTATAATCTTACTGCATAAATATCATATTGAAACATTTTAGGAATTAAATATGACAAGTTATTAAATGATTCATGTTTCACATAGTCTAAGAAAAAGCATGTTCCATTCAATTAATTCAAATGTAAATTTACATTGTCATACCGATCAAAACAAACCAGAAATCGAAAACACAAATTCCCACATTATGTAAAATCTATATGGAAATTCTTCGTTAAATACGTTTCTATAGTGGTGAAATGCATTTCCTACAAACATTATCAAAATTTTAAACATAAATATAGCCTTACCGACTTCAAAATCTCTATTTTTGGTCTCAGCATTTCAATCACACCAATTTTCAAATCGTCCCCGGAAAAATCCGCGCTTCGTTGTTGACCAATCGTTGACTTTGAAAGAGTCACGTGATTAAAAAAATAAATAAATAAATACAGAATTAGTTCATAAAAACATCAGAAATTCTCTTAATAATGTTTTTAAAATCATTAAATTTATTTTGAAGCCGTTTTTTGTGCAGTACTTGATATCTAGCTTTACCACAATTGTGACCGCCATATTGTGTAATAATCGTCGCCGCCATTTTGTTTGTTTGTTTTTTTGTTTTCAATAAATTATCGAGTTCAATTTGTAAAGCCACAAGAAATTTTGAATTTGTTAACTGCAAAAATCCTTATAAAATTTACAGTCTTCAATCTCAATGTCGAAATATCTTGTATGCAGGCAGCTTAGACGTTTGCACATGCTACTTATATTTCGTGCATTGTTTATACCCGTAAACATGATGAAAGTTCTTCGTGATAATAAAACGATAGACATGGTGCATCTTGGAGGCTTTTGTATTAATATTCGTTCCTTGCTATTTCCGTTTATTAGAACTACACTTAGGTGACACTTAATTATCAACTAAATATATCAACTATATTTTCCCTTATTAATTTAAGATGTATTTCTCAATACTCGATTTCAATCCATTTTGTTTACCACATAGTCAAAATTATCGCGTATGATTTCGTTTTCCCAGAAACTTCTTGTGAATTTATGTGTATGTTTCCACTGCACCGTCTAGACAACAAAGGTCACCGAGTACAACCACCTGTGTCATTTGAAATAAACATCGTTTGCAGAGAGAGAGAGAGAGAGAGAGAGAGAGAGAGAGAGAGAGATGTAAAATGTAAAGCAAGCAGAATACTTGTTCATGTAAATAACTCCCTTTCCAAAAATTTTACCTTTAAATTATTTAATATTTCCACAGCCAGAGAGAGAGATAGAGAGAGAAAAATAGTTATTTCTGTACAGATTTACGATGTAATTTCCATCAGGTTTACTAAATCTTGATGATTATAATGAGTTTAGGACATAATTCTGTTAAACATAAAATGGACACAGCATGACAGAAATACAAATACATTTGACTGTAACTGTATTAAACACCCCCTTTTCCCTGCAACAAATACGCAAGTAAATTAAATAGCCATATATTATATATACTCTTATGCTAACACCATAGTTGAATTCTGAATGCTCACATTAGAATAAAACTTTCCTAAATCATTAGAATAATTTAATAAATATTTTTATATGAACAAATTGCTAACTAATTTCATAAAAATTGTTATAAAATTTCAAAAATAATTTGAACACAATGGGAAAAAAACTAAGTCCAAATTAGGTACATAAAAAGTACATCCTTATTTTTCTGATTCTGCCAAAAAAGTTTAAGTCCAAGAAAAGTACATTTTTAGTACATTGAGAAAAAACTAAGTCCAAATGAAGTACAAAAAAAGTACAGTGGAAAAAAACTAAGTTCTATAAAGTACAAATAAAGTACTGTGGAGAAAAACTAAGTTCAAATAAAGTACAAAAAAAGTACATCAGCTTTCAGAGGCTCTCTGGCCAAGTACAAAAAAAGTATACTTTTTCTGACCTTTTTCTAAAAAGCACAAATTTAATACTAAAAAAGTACAATAAAAGTATACTTTTTTGTACTTTATTTTGGTATGGGTATGGCTAATTTATTTCAAACTTTAATCTTACATGTCATGTGTGATCAAGAACTTAACTTATTAGTGGTGGATCCATGGGGAGTGGATATTCATTTTTTAAAGAAATATTTGTTGTGTATCAAGGATATTAATGACTATGCCATAGTCATTAATATCCTTGATATGGCTGATTGATTTTAAGCATTAAGATTATATGTCATGTGTGGTCATGATCTAAACTGATAAGTGGTGGATCCAAGAGGCATAAATATTTTATTTTTAAGTATTTGGGTGAATCAAAAGATTTTAATAGTTGTACTTTGTGATATATAACTGAATTGAGTTCCATTAATTAAATATGTAGATATATTGCACATGAATTAAATAAATCCAATCTTATTAGTGGTGAATGCAAGGGGAATGGAGATTTAAAAAAAATCCGCAAACTAGACATCATATAAACCTAACATATATAATATATATAAATATACATTAGTTAAGGAAAGAGACCCTCTTTGGACACTGTGAATTGGTTGCTATTGTGTTGGTATTAAATTTTCTTGTTTCATTTTTTTTAAATATTCAGATTAATGGTCATCGATCAAATAATCTGTGAAGAGTTTTATGATGAATGTTTCATTTTGGGAGGCAACTGCCTTAGAAACCTGTTTTCATATAAATCTTCTTTTACATAGGCAAAAATTTGAAGAATGAATACTTGAAAATTTGAAAAATAATAGATATTTGTTATAACTATCCACTTTTATAAAATGAGAAACAGAGAAGATACTAATGATCCATTAGTCTAAGAAAAAAACCCAAGTTTTTAGGAATTATCTTACAGTAAATATATCAATACATGGGATTTAAAACCCCATGATAAAGAAACGTGGGAGAAAAAACCCCATATGACAATATAAGCAACATATGGGTTTAAAAAACCTACATTGATTTTCGTGGGGTTATTTCCCCCATGGGGTGAAAAATAAACCCCATGGGGTTTTTGTGGGGTTTTTTGTGGGGTATTTTTAAGTTCATGTTTCCCCATGGGATTTTTGTTTTTGAACTCAAATATCTCAAAAACTAGCAGAAAATGTTGAATTTTTTTTTTCATTAATCAATTTGATTATAAAAACCCCACCATTTAAAAAAAACCCTAAGATGATAGCTTTAAAGGAAAAGGGTGCGCAAGTTCGGAAAAATGTCCATTCCGAAGTTGTCCGTCCCACTGTTAATAGCTTCTTAAGTGAACATTTTAAAATCTCTAAAATTACTCCTCGCTAGTAATAAAATACCACTTTTTAAGGACAAATCGCTAAAATTCCCATTTAAACGGTAAGTCATTTGTTATAACAAATTAATAAAAGAGATACTGCTGCAGCCCTAATACGCATCCGTACATATCACTTTAACCGAAACAATGTCTTTACCTGAATTTCTTTTTTGAGGAATACTGGTTCCTAAAGCAACATCTGCGATTCTCGTACGCTTGGCCTCAGGCGCATTGTAAGACGGGCGGGTTTGTTTTTCCGCATTCACTGGGATTCTTGAATCTGTGAAAGACGAATCATTCAATAGAGATGGAACAATTCCACCCGTGATTTGACTTACAAACTGCTTAAATATAAATCCTTAGTTTGCAATTATCCTCGAAAGAGGATCAAAACTAGCACTGCTTTTCACGGCACTCTTGACATTTACGTGTTTGCATATGAAGAGAAACACATTAACTAGTCGGAAAATAGCTCTTCAGAGCTCATGTTTTTGGTTGATTTACCCGACTTTAAATGAATATTATCTTTTATCATAATTTTGTGAATTTCGTTTTTTCACTTATTCATTTTTTTGTAATAATTCTCATGGGAATGACTGCCTTCATCAGCAATGAACTATTCTGAGAAACAATCAAGAATCAAATTTATACGTTTTTACATACTTTGTTCTTTTTTCCTCCCATCGCTGATCTGAAATTCCATAAAACGGATCCTTTTTTCTTGTCTTTCCACTTTTTCTTCAAGGGCATGTATGTGTTTCTTTAGATTTTCATGATTTTTCTCCTCGATGAGAAATCTGATTGCTTCTTCTTGATTCTTTTGATTTTCTTGCAGTTTTAAAATCATGGATTTCAGAATCTGAATTTCGTCTAAATTCGAACACTGGCCATTGATAAACAACGACACAAATATAGTTAGAAAAACAAATAAAAACATCTTCTTGAAGACACGTGTTCAACCGGTATTTTCTTGGACACTTCTTGATAAGAAATACATATTCGTTTAGTAGAAATTATCTTAGAGGTTAAAATCAAGACTGTACAATACCAAAGAAGATAAATATGTTACTAGTCCAAAATACGTTTTCCAGAGTATTTTCTCAAGATTTCGAAACTGTAGTATGAAGCCTGGAAGACGTCGTTTATATTTCGGACTAAAATGTAACTGAACCGTTGCATACATGTATAGCTCTTATCAAGATTTTTTTTTATATATATAAAGTCTTCCACCTCAGAAAACACTACACAAATAAATCACACAATAATCAGGTTTTAACATGCACACAATGTATGAAATTTTTTTTTACAAGATCGTTGTTATACAATTGCTGCCACTTTCTCCCTTTGCCATCATTCCCACAAAGCTGCCGCTATTAATTGTCTTGCACTACTCCTTTTTAGGAAACGACTGGAAAGTGAATTTCACTCTTTAATTAATCCAAGGCTCACAGATTCGATCCTGAGCCAAGTCATACACTTTTTCTTTTCCAGTTACAAGATCAAATAAACTATTCAACATAAAAGCTATCTAAAATTGTCAATGATAATTTCCAGTTGGACGTTGAAGATCTTGATATAATCCTTAGAGGTGTGCCATTTGGGCCGCCATAGTTCTCTCAATGCACCTGAGCAACTTCTTATCTGTGGAAACTTCCCAATTAATTTATTGTTGTTTTAGAAAATGTTTATCAAAGCTTACGACTAAATTAGTGCCAGAGACTTGTTTACCCAAATGATAATAGATACATATAAGTTCTTTATAAATGAGAAAGGCCATGGACAGATAAGTTGATTACACAAGAATATCAACAATCACATTAAGAGTCATGTTGCAATTTTTATCATTGATATGATGCTACTGTGACAAACTTTCGCACAAATTGATAGATAATAATTTTCTCATTGAATTATTCTATAATTTTTGCGGTTTTCCTACCAGTGTTTACGCCTTCTTCACGGCACTTGCTCCCAGCTGTTTTCAGAGATTATTGTTGACCCTGCTCATCATTTAAATTGTTTAAATGGTCTTTCTAAAGAATGGTCACTGTTCATTATCTTTGCTCAGAGTAAAAATTTTATAAATGGTAAGATTTATACTACATGTGGTTACATCCATTTTAGTGCAAAGTAATAGTGTTGAACCAGTTCTTTACACTTGTACAAAATTAAATTCTAAATATGACCCAAACTGCAAATATACCTATTATATATTTCCATCACAAATAACAATCTAGATTAGCTTTAGATTTGGCAGTGCTTTATTGAACACATACAGGTAAATATGGAAGACATGATCTGGTGGTACATGACCAGTGTTATCCCTGGTCATCGTTAGCAGGTGCAGGGAACAGTAAACGTTTCAGATTCCTTCGTCTGACTCGAATCCCACAGCTAGGACAGGTTTTATCCAGATCCTATAGTAAATTAAAAGAAAATATTTACATTTCCAATGTCTTTGCCCGAGATAAAATTACAAATAGTTTATGTACTTTATTTCTCCATCAATGTACTGGTTCATCAATAAGTGCGGTTAAAAAAAATCAAGTGCAGGGCGGGACAAGTAGCTAGACAGAAGCAGGGCTTGGAGCATGTGGATTAGCGGAATCTAGAGCATGTAAATATAAGGAATTACTGTCTTATTTTTCGATTTCATGACGATGATCAATCGATTGGCTTGCGTGATAATTTTATGCATAAACGCCTTTGGCGTTTATGCAAATTATCACGCATGCCAATCGATTGATCACATCACGAGATCGAAAAATAAGACAGTTTTTCCTTAAATACATTTTTATTATCAATTACAGGTACCTGTACATATGCAACATTTTGAAGGTATACAATACACCTTGACAAATGATTTATAAAAATATTTATCTTTGATAATGTATGGGTGCATGTATTCTGTATGATAATAGAAAACCTAGGTAGAAATGATGTTTCTAAATTGATTGTAAATCACTTACATTAAAGACTTCTTTCCAACATTTAAAGCAGCAGACGTGATCACAGGTCGATTGGAATGGAACTTTTGCCTCACTCCGACATTTACAACACACATACCCTACAAAACAAAGAGGATATTACTACAGGTTTATCTATTTCGTGTATGGTGACTTATTTTGTGTCCTCTAATTCACTGATTTAGTCACGAACCAATCATCAGTTTTTGTAAAAGAATTAAGTTATGTACAATACTTTTTTTTTCAATTTTTTTAAAATCAATTTGAAAATACTACAAGTAAAGTTCAACTTGCATATTTTAACTCTATAAAGTTTGCCCTCCCCCTCCCCCCAAAAAATTTCATGACTTTTCAGAAATCAATTCCGGCAAAAAATGTCTACAAATAAATGGACATGGTGACTCCAATATACCAATATACCCCCAAACTTCATTAGCAAAGGGTACAAAACTTATTCATTCAATGGACAAAGAAACACCTGTAGATACATAGAAATCTAACCTGACTTATCCTGAGAAGGACTCCGTATATCTAGTGGTCCAGCCACATTCTTGAGTCGCTCACTTATATTTCCTCCTGAACTTTGTTCACAGTTCCGTAACTCCTGACTGTCCTCAGAGTTCACTGACTGTGCCCCATCACCACTCACTTTGTTAAATTTCAGGGAGGACAGATCCCCCGACATAAACTTCTTACTAGAAGTGTCCGACTGTTGCACGTTAGATAGTGTCTTGGGCTGCAGAACCGATCCTGAACATTCTGTTCTCTGTTTCTTTTCTGGTTGTTCTAAAATAAAAGCATTTTATCATTAAAGAACAAACACTGTCAGTTCATATTAGACATTAATAGTACTCTACGGATGATTTCAAGTCAACTAAACAATAAAATGAATAATATTATCTTTATACAAGAAAAGAAGTTAAACCTCTGCTATTTCTATATAATTGTACCTATATTTAATTGATGATACCATATAAGCAAAATTTTTAGTGAGGATTTCATTTTGGCATTTTTAGCGAGAGTGCCAAGATTGCTAAAATTGAATATTGCTAAAAATTAATTGCGCTCTATTTGTTATAGCTTCTTTAGTACGCTTTTTAAAATCACTAAAATTACATACATCTTGCTAAAAATAAAATACCAATTTTTAAGGACAAATCGCTAAATTTGTGTCTCGCTGAAATTTCCACTTATCCTGTATTAAGAACTACCGGTACCTGATACATTGGGGGTCTCTGACTGAGCCCGTTTCTTGGGAACGGAATCTTCTGGTTTATACCCACACCCCTCTCCTGTCAGTTCCATACACAGCGAATCAAATTCCTTCTTATCCTTGTGTCTCACAAATCGATAAAACTCTGTAAATATACCAATTATGTTTTTATTGCAGTCCAGTAATTGTTACTGGGTTTTGGACTACACATGACAGCATTCACTAATTAACAGTTTAATGATATATGTATTAGTACAACTCTCTGAAAATATTGTATTTTTGCATTAGGTCAGAGGCCTGAAGAAACAGATGATTATCCATTCCAAGACTTACTTCTGAAGAGATGGTAGTGTTTTGGGTCCTCTGTGAACAGTCCTGCCATTACCCCCACTGCCTGGGACAGCTCTCCTGTTTTCTTGTACATACCTAGTGCTTTGGAGAATGCCATATAGGATTCCTTACTCAGACAACACTTCACCTGTAAAGAAACAGAAACTTTTAAATACAGTGTAACCTAGTAATAAGATCTTAGCTCTAGTACCATAACTTTCAAATCTATATGATGAAAAACCCTTGCATGCATGGGAGACTAGAATTTTAATATTTACCACTTGTGATAGAAAAATTTCAATATATCTACATATATATAAAATAGTTTTTGCAGAAGTACTGACATTCCTATAGTAAGAACACATATTTCAAATTTCATTTGTAGAATATTTTATCACAGTTACCAAACAGCAGAAGTAGATATACAGCTGTATGTCAACCTGTGGCATTTTTTTTTCGGGAAAGGTGGGGGGGGGGGGGAGGTAAAAATTTGCTTTTCACATATTAGGCCATAATAAAAATATTCCTAGATTCTCATCCCCGCCCGCCCCGATTTTAAACCCCCGCCTCAGTTTTTTTAATTTTTGTTTTTCTTCGTCTTAATTCTGATCGGGATCGGTATTCATCTACCATTCTACTTTCGTTTTAAATCCCGCGAAAGTCGACATGATTTTGACAGCTGAAAAGATGGTAATTGCTGTAATACATGCGTATAAATTTTAAACAAGGGTCATTGGTTGAAAAAGATTGGTGATGATGTGAAGTAAGAGATAATTGAACCTTTACTATGACTTTTATTCGGGTATTGTAGATAAAATTACACCGATTGACCAGGTTAATAAAAAAATCTGCAAAATTGAAAAAATAAAAAATATAAAATAAAAGCCGCCCGCCTCGATTTAAAAAAAAATTTGGATGAGAATCTAGCAATTTATTTATTATGGCCTTTTATAAAGACTGAACATCTAATACAAAATTGAAATGATAAATGTATGAGGAAAATATTAATTTAGCACCACTTTTCATTTTAATTCAACTTTTCTTTCCCACTCCACATTTCTCACCTCTATGATGTAACTCTCTGCTGACTGTAGATGAGAATTCGTCACTGCAGGATTAGCCTCTATAACTGACCCTGACTGACGCTTTGTCTGAGAACTCTCCGATTCTGAATCTCTTTTCTGAAAAAGAAAAGTTAAACTGAATTTTAAATACCCATGCTGCAGTGTTTATAAGACTTCATGATCATTATCAATTTATACAGAGTATAAGACAATGACTTGTTATCAATAAATTTTCAACATCTCCCAATTTTTCATAATAAAAATAATACCCTGAAGTTGGCCTGAACATATTGCTTTGTGATGCTTGCTGGTAATGAAGACCAGAAACTACAGACTGTGGACAAAAGTATCGGAACGATTTACGTTAGTTTATATATTGATGCAAATGTTCGCGTTATTTATAGCTGGCATTTTCGGTGTAGACACGATTTGATGCTACACCTTGGGTATTTTTAGATTGATGACTACTTCCTGTTTACATTAACTACGTCATTATTTATCGTCTGCAATCTAAAAGTAGGTTAAATCTGTCCACAAAAATCATGGCTGAGAATCGTCATTATGCATCGGATGGTCTTAAAAATTCTGTTGTTTTATTAGTTCAAAATGGAAATTCTTTTCAAAAAGTTGCAGATATGCTTAATATGTCTAAAACAACTGTGCACCGAATTTATAGAAATTTTTGTGAACGAGGAACTGTTAAAACTGCCCCGAAAACAGGTAGGAAAAAAAGTTTGAGCGATCGTGACGGGAGAAAAATTTTGCGACAAGTGAAAAGTAACAGGAAAACTCCGCTGGCTGATTTGACAGAAACATTCAACAAAAATGAAAACAGAAATGTGTCTAAAAAGACAGTGTGGCGTTTTTTAAAGGATCAAAGATATCATCGCTGTGTCTGTAAGAAAAAAATAAGGATATCCCCTGTAAACAGACAGCGGAGAGTAGCATGGTGTCGTGCGAAATCAACATGGACAGACGATGACTGGAAAAAGGTAATTTTTTCAGACGAGAGTCAAGTTGTTATTGGCAGTGACAATAAAGTTTATATCTGGAGAAAAAGTGATGAGGCATTTAGACCAGAATGCATTTCACCAATAAAAAACAAAAAACTTTCCGTAATGGTTTGGGGTTGCATAACCTATCATGGCGTCGGGACATTAACACATGTGGAGGGAAACATAAATTCAGATAAATATATTCGAATTATAGATGACAATTTATGGCCAGTGATAGCAAGACACTTTCCAGACAATAGATACGTTTTTCAAGATGATAATGCGCCAGTTCATCGTTCTAGGGCAACGAAAGCTTTTATGGAAAACAACCATATCAATACAATGGAGTGGCCAGCGCAAAGCCCCGATATTAACATCATAGAAAATTTATGGTTAAAGATTAAAAGAAGAATAGAACAATCCATGCATGAAATTACTTCTGTGGAACAATTATATAATAAAATATTTTCGATTTGGACAAGTTTTGACTGCGTAACAATTCAAAATTTATATCGATCTCTCCCCTCAAGAATCGCCGCGGTACGTAGGGCCAAAGGATACATCACAAAATATTAAGGTAAGTTTTAATAAATAAGCTTCATTTTTGTCAGGTAAATGCAAAATTGTCTCATCTTTCAAATGATGTAATTTATTTTTATTAGTTGTTACGTAATATGGCTATTTTGAGCATCCAATCAAACGCGAGTATTTTCCAAATATTACACGACGTCGTAAATCGTTCCGATACTTTTGTCCACAGTCTGTACCTACCTTAATTATGATCTTCTTTTTGCTGGGAAGTTTCTTCATCAGAGTCTTTGCTTCTTTTGACATGAACTATCAAGACGGAAAAGATAATAAAATTACTAGTGATAAAGGCATTAAATAACCTAACGAAAACTGTTTGGAAGTTGACAAGAACTGTTCAAAGCTTTATCAGTAGTAATTTGAAAATTAATGGCTCATATTGCCTCATAACCTATGAATCAAACTTTTACTATATATTCTTTTTTATGAATAATCATATTGTTTTTTTTTTTTTAAAACATCTTAATACTATATCAATACCTTGTTATCCATTTCATTGTAAAGACTACCTTCTTTCTGAAAAATATAATTATGAAAGTATATACAAAGAGAAGAAAAGAACCATGCTAGAATCCAATTAAAATTTGCAGCTGATCCCTCTACCACTACTAAATAAATTTACTCTTGTTCTGGTGAAAAACATTCTCAAACTAGAAAACTGACCAGTCAGCAAGGGCCCCGCCATGGAGTAGAATTATAAGGGTGCAGCTGATGGAATGATTCAAAAGTATATGACAAATAAGAAACAGCAACTGTATTCTTAAAATTTCAAGATAATTCCTGAATATCCAAAAACTTGTTAATAATATCCTTGTATTTACATAAGGCAGTAAAGAACAACTCAAAATATATATCTAAACAATAATGAAGGCAGCTTGTGTTATATAAAATGCCAGCCTTCCAATGAATGCAAATACATATCATGAAGGCTTGACCTTAACTTCAAAACAAACAGCAGTTGCAGACAAAGGTTTTCATTAATCTTAAAGTGACAGATAAAGATAAGCCTTCTAAATTTTCTGCAGCAGACTAGATAATTAATCCCAAGGGATTAATTGTACTTCTCTCTCATCATTTTCTTCTGAATTTATAATAAGAACTTTTTCAGTAACATTATGATAGAATGAGGTTTTTATCCTACTACCTTAAAAATCAATAATATTCTTGAATTTACATGAAGCAAGAAAAAAAAAATAAAAATAAAAATATATATATCTTCTTTAATCTATTTCTTGCTTTAAGAATTCAACGAACTCATTGTGTAGGGTATTTCAACAAAAATTTTAAAAGTAAAAACATTTATATTTCAATCCACTTAAATGGACTTAACTTCAAAACAAACTTCGTTTGTAGACAGAGGTGGTAATTAATCTCAATGTGACAGGTAAAGATAATGCTTTAGATTTTCTTCAGGAGGAAAGCTAATTAATCCCAAGGGACTCATTCATTGCAGTATTCAATTTACAATGGGAACATTTTCAGAAGTTATCTCTCTTTGCCAATTCATTCTTATATAAAGTTAAGGAATCTACCCCACCACCCCAGCTCCAAACCAGAGGACATAGAGAAACAAACTTAGCATCAAAATATATCTTTTTGCCTACTGAACTACCATACCAAATCTGAACTTAATTGGACTACCATAAAAAAAGTTATTAGGAAAAAACAGAAAATTTGTGGACGGAAGAATGACAGACGGACAGACAGACAGACAGACAGAGTGATTACTATAGGGCACCCGCAAATCCTTGCGGGGCCCTAATAAATGTAAGTCACTATAAATATCATATATCATTCCATACAAAATTTTGTTATAGGGCAAATAAAGAAAAATTTTCATTTATGGGCCTTTCTAATGAAGTCATTGAACAGAATGACAAAAATAAAAAAGAAAGAAAAAACAATATTTATTTAAAATGAACAATCACTTTACTTTAATTCATGTGACCAATTTTCTTGGAAATTGAGATGCTTAAAATTCAAATTAAAATATGATAAACAAATGCCTTAATTTGAGAGAAATACTTGAAAGATCAACATTTGTGAAGAATGTTAATTTGTGAGTCGGTATATTTGGCAAAAATTGAACCTACAAAAAATAAGTTGATATCAAAGTACCTCTGAAGAACTAAGAGCATCTAGGAGGTTTTTCTTGCCAATGCCTGCACTATTTGAGGAGGGTCCACCTTCATACTGAATTTTCAGTTTGGCTAAGTTTGTTTCTTCATCTGAAAAGTACAGTATCTCCACACATAAAGACGATTAAACAGTTAAGCATCACATCATGATTAACATAAAAAAATTATGAACAAATGAGCTTAATTTTCTAGTTCAATGGTATTTATAAAGACAAGTAATTTACCAATTAAAAAACTTTATACAGCAGTAAATAATTACCAGCAGATTGACGGAGGCTTGGCACATGTTCTGCTACATTGCGGGCCTTTGCCTGTGAAGGAGGGGGTCCCTGTCTGTTAACCGTGGGCATAAAATGAGCTCCCTGACACCCATGTATAATATGTGAAAGCCTCCTTATCTATTTCTTGATTTCAGAAGTTATGGCCAATTTGAACTACTGTTTATATAATTTTTTAAAAAGTTAAACTTCAATGTCAACGGTTGGAGGCAAACTTCTTTCAGTACCAATTTTTTGCATACAATACTACATCTTCCTTATATCACTTCACTGTAAAAAGTGGGAGTCCATCAGCCTTTCAATGAATGTTTTCAACAGTATCGAGTAATGTTGGAGAAAAAGTGTTGCAATGTGCCTGATTACCAAGGTTAAAATTTATAGAATGGTATTTCAGTGTATGAAGCAATATAAGGGTTTTAATTTCTTTAATTGAAAACAAATTAAACTATCTTCAGAGGCACAGATCTTTTTTGTGAAAAAAATAAAAACAATTGTATCGCAGACTATATACCCACGTATATGCTAATAATGTTTGCTATATGTGAAAATCGATTAAATGCAATTTGTATATTTCTAGTATTTAGGGCAATAACCTTAAGGTGCCCCACGCTTAAAATCTTAATACAGAACTAAAGGTCAGATTATGGCTTATAGTGCACTCCGCGTCTAGGGATATCAATTTACAATCTAAAATCATGATCATATGCTTGCAAAAAAATAAAAGGAGGATTACGTAAATTGACTCGGCATATATGCATATACAGGCATATGAGAAGTGGCGAGATACACTTCTGTTTTTACAGCGGTTTAAGATGCCGACACGATAAAAATGCTATTATTTATGCCTAATATGAATTTGCTTTTTGAAAAGAAACTGTATATGTAATGTGTAGAATAAGTATGTTCGTTTTCTTTCAAACTCTAAGAAAAGTTATGTGAAGAAGGAACTGAATAAATGAACTGTGTTCTTTGGTTGCATAATGCAGGAAAACCTAGTGCCTTATATGCACAAAACGTTCTATAAAATATTTGCACCATAGTTGAAACATCATGTAAGAAATCATTTCAATAGGAGTTTTATAATAGGTGTATAAAATGAAAACCGGGTCCGTAAATGTATGGGCCTTCCTTGATATGTTTTTAACGTGTATCATGTGACGATAGAAGTTCTGATTAAAAAAAAATACAATTTCTTTTTTTCGCTGCACTGTGGTCTGGCAAATTTACCATGATCTTTTTCAAATCATGAGGCTTTTGGGTAGGGAGGGAAACAACGGGGAATCAAATTCAAATTATAACGAAGTAATATATACAAACAAACTGTAAAAAAAAAAATCTTCAAAACCCTTTTTCTCAAGAACAGCAAAGTTATATGCTGTTTTTATATGGAGGCATTCTGAAGTAGTATGAAAATTCTAGTCCTCCTCTGTAAACTTTTCAATTCTGGTCTGATTTGTGCATTTTCCAAGCCGATGTGCTTAGGTGAGCAGTGTGGATCCTAGGCCTCTTGTTAGGTAACCTGAGTAAATTCAGGTGACCCATTGCTATCCATTTTCGTCCGTTGTTGTGCGTTAACATTTAAACATTTTCAGCTTCTTCTCTGCAACCATTCTACCAATTTCAACCAAATTTGCAAATTTGGCACAAAGCATTTATTGGCGAAGGGGAACAAAAATTGTGAATTTCATGGTCCCTGTCCCGGGGTGGGGTGGGGGGTGGGGGCTGAGATAAAACCATGAAATTAATAAAATCTTTAAAAATCTTCTTCTTTACTATTGGACATCAAGCAGTCAAACTGTTGGCATGATAGTAATCAGCACTGAGTCCTCTGCCAAAATTTGTGAAATTCATGGCCCCTGGGTCAGGGGTTCTAGTTCTAGGGCGGGGCTAAATAGATTTTGTAGTGAAAATGCATAAATTCTTTGAAAATTTTCTTGCTTGGGCATTGAAAAACCAAGTACATAGTTATGTGAATAAGGTTGCCTCTACCAAAACTGTGAACCTCATGGCCCCTGGGGTCAGGGGTTCTATTGCTAGGGCGGGGCTAAATAGATTTTGTTGTGAAAATGCATAAATTCTTTGAAAATCTTCTTCTCTGCTCCTGGGCATTGAATAAACTAACCAAGTACATAGTTATGTGAATAAGGTTGCCTCTACCAAAACTATGAACTTCATGGCCCCTGGGTCAGGGGTTCTATTGCTAGGGCAGAGCTCTATTGATTATATAGTGAAATTGCAGAAATTCTTTGAAAATCTTCTTCTCTGCTCCTGGGCATTGATAAAAATAAAACAAGTACATAGTTATGTGAATGAGGTTGCCTCTACCAAAACTGTGAACTTCATGGCCCCTGGGTCAGGGGTTCTATTGCTAGGGCAGGGCTCTATTGATTATATAGTGAAATTGCATAAATTCTTTGAAAATGTTTTTCTCTGCTCCTTGGTATTAATTAAATAAACTATCCAAGTACAAAGTTATGTTGAATGAGGCTGCCTCTTCCAAAATTGTGAAAGTCAAAGCCCCTGGGTCAGAGGTTCCGGTGTTAGGGCGGGGCTCTATTGATTTTATAGTGAAAATACATCAGTTAATTCTTTGAAAATATTCTTCTCTGCTCCTGGGCCTTAAATAAACTATCCAAGTATATAGTTATGTTGAATAAGGCTGCCTCTTCCCAATTTCTGAATTTCAGGGCCCCTGGGTCAGAAGTTCTGGTGTTAGAGCGCGGCTCTAAAGGTGATATAGTGAAAAGCATGAATTTTTTCGTAGCGATCCATGTGAGCGGATCAAAGTCGATCTGAATTTAATCAGATTGGAATTCTTTGAACATCTTTTCCTTTGCTCCTGGTTAATATGTAATAATGATCTAATTAACTATTTAGGCCAGCATCTTTTTTATTTTTAGGGTTACAAACCCGCCGCTCAAGTTTTTGAATTTTCAGAAAAAATTAAAATTGAGAAAAAACAGAATTTCTTCTTCCCGATGTCAAATTTGAGTCGGGATCGAGATTTAAAATTTACGAACTTGTTTCTCCGGTTTCACAATGAACATGGCCGCATGGCGGGTAAATAGCACCATAGCTTGGTTTAGTGTAAACAAATTATCAATATAGTACCTTTCAAAACCTTTCACCCGTTCAGAGGACAAAGAAAATGATGACGACTTTGCTGGTGAGATAATTATATTTTCGTATTCAAAAGTATCATCTTTAAACAGGTTGGGAACACATCCCCTTTAGCGAGATCATCTCTAGCGGGAGAAAATATATCTCGGATAACCGAGATTTGTACTCCGATTCAAACTGTAATCGTGTTAACTTCAGAAAAAAGAATATCCGGAAGTATGTCAACCCATTCGATAAATATTTAGTGTCTCATCTCAATAAATTTGCTTCAAAATATTGCCTCGACTGCTGCAAATCATGGAAATTAGAATAAGTTTATGAACAGTAGCGTAGCCTTCCTACTGAGGACCACAGATGATAATTATCAGTACAGTTAAACTTACTTCGGTTACACGTTTATTGTAATTGTACGTTTACCTTTTTTTAATATGCCTGCTTGAAAAGCGGGAGTATATACAGACTGTGGACAAAAGTATCGGAACGATTTACGACGTCGTGTAATATTTGGAAAATACTCGCGTTTGATTGGATGCTCAAAATAGCCATATTACGTAACAACTAATAAAAACAAATTACATCATTTGAAAGATGAGACAATTTTGCATTTACCTGACAAAAATAAAGCTTATTTATTAAAACTTACCTTAATATTTTGTGATGTATCCTTTGGCCCTACGTACCGCGGCGATTCTTGAGGGGAGAGATCGATATAAATTTTGAATTGTTACGCAGTCAAAACTTGTCCAAATCGAAAATATTTTATTATATAATTGTTCCACAGAAGTAATTTCATGCATGGATTGTTCTATTCTTCTTTTAATCTTTAACCATAAATTTTCTATGATGTTAATATCGGGGCTTTGTGCTGGCCACTCCATTGTATTGATATGGTTGTTTTCCATAAAAGCTTTCGTTGCCCTAGAACGACGAACTGGTGCATTATCATCTTGAAAAACGTAACTATTGTCTGGAAAGTGTCTTGCTATCACTGGCCATAGATTGTCATCTATAATTCGAATATATTTATCTGAATTTATGTTTCCCTCCACACGTGTTAATGTCCCGACGCCATGATAGGTTATGCAACCCCAAACCATTACGGAAAGTTTTTTGTTTTTTATTGGTGAAATGCATTCTGGTCTAAATGCCTCATCACTTTTTCTCCAGATATAAACTTTATTGTCACTGCCAATATAACAACTTGACTCTCGTCTGAAAAAATTACCTTTTTCCAGTCATCGTCTGTCCATGTTGATTTCGCACGACACCATGCTACTCTCCGCTGTCTGTTTACTGGGGAAATCCTTATTTTTTTCTTACAAACACAGCGATGATATTTTTGATTCTTCAAAAATCGCCACACTGTCTTTTTAGACACATTTCTGTTTTCATTGTTGTTGAATGTTTCCGTCAAATCAGCCAGCGGAGTTTTCCTGTTAGTTTTCACTTCTCGCAAAATTTTTCTCCCGTCACGATCGCTCAAACTTTTTTTCCTACCTGTTTTCGGGGCAGTTTTTACAGTTCCTCGTTCACAAAAATTTTTATAAATTCGATGCACAGTTGTTTTAGACATTTTAAGCATATCTGCAACTTTTTGAAAAGAATTTCCATTTTGAACTAATAAAACAACAGATTTTTTAAGACCCTCCGATGCATAATGACGATTCTCAGCCATGATTTTTGGGGACAGATTTTACTTACTTTTAGGTTGCAGACGATAAATAATGACGTAGTTAATGTAAACAGGAAGTAGTCATCAACCTAAAAATACCCAAGGTGTAACAACAAATCGTGTCTACACCGAAAATGCCAGCTATAAATAATGCGAACATGTGCATCAATATATAAACTAACGTAAATCGTTCCGATACTTTTGTCCACAGTCTGTAGTTTCTGGTCTTCATTACCAGCAAGCATCACAAAGCAATATGTTCAGGCCAACTTCAGGGTATTATTTTTATTATGAAA